GGCCAACCAAGATGCTTGCTCTCTAGTGAGCTAGGAAACTGGAATTCCCGCTGTTTCTAATAACTGCTTATATTTTAATCTCTGGGCTTGGATTAAACATTTTTTTTCTTGCCTTCTTACTATTCTCTGAACTGCAAAGTGTTAACTCCCCCTCCAAAACACACACACACACACACACAAGCAGGGTGAGGGCAGGATACATCCTGCTGCACCACCCACATTTGGCTTCTCGTCCCTCCTTCCAACCTTTTTTCCTTCTGCAGAACCCTTAATGCGTTCCATATGGGCCCGTCGTGTGCATAGAAGCTTCCGATAGGCCTGGGGCTGTACTTGTTGGTGGGACGGTCAGGCAAAGAATCCTGCATCGCCTCAACCAGCACCCACTCAAACTGCCTTCACAGCATCTCTTGTTTCTGCCTTGTAAGCCTGGGTAGGAAGGAGGAAGGGAGGGGGCACATTGCAATGCAAGCTGATGTGTGGATGGTGACTTTTGTCTGCCCCTGTCAAGTAGTGCTTCTCTCGGGTGCATTGCAGGATTATTTTTATATGCTCAGATTTTACTTAGTAGTTCGTCTATGAATGGAACTCTGGGGTCATCAGGCATTCAAATATTCTTTTTGGATGGGATAAAGGGCAGAGGAGCCATCTGTATGGCCATGCAAAGTTATTGATTTCCATGCTGATACTGAGGGGCCTGCCTGGCTCTTAACTGAATGGGATGCACGGCTTTCTTCTTTCCAAGATCTAAGAGCGCCCATGTGTTTCCTGGCTAGCAGAATTTAGAAGGCCAGATTGCCATCTTGTCTCTTGTTCCTGCTTGGAATTGCTGCTCTATAATTTTTGGAAGCAGGCCTTTAATTTTCTGCAAGCTGGACATGGTTTGGGAGAGAATGAGAAAGGGAAGCTTTTAGGGTGGAGTCAGGAGGTAGTCTGCAACCAGTTCAGATTTTTAACTAAAAGAGGAGATTGCCAAGGCCTGATGCCCAGTCCCGAAATGCCAAGCACTCTTGAATTGAGTGGGAAGAGCCCCCAAACCTATTTTCTTAAGTCAGCTAAACCTTTGGACCCAGGTTTGCATCACCTCCATTTTGGCAGAGTAATGCCTGAGAACAGCAGTGATTTGTGAACTCATACACACTTCGATACGTGTGATCCATTGCAAAATGTTTTTCGCCCTTGTTGTGCTGGCTTTGTGCATGTGTCTGTTTTGGCTATATTGTGAACACACTTTTTAAGACCGTTAAACCATCTGATTACTGAAAAGGTTCAAATTCTTCAGTTGCATATTAATGGGTGGTGTTAATATTCTACTCCATATTTGTGGTAGAATGGTTGAAGCATGAGGGGTTGATTATGTTCCCCAGTAAGAGAATGGGCAGGAAGACAGGGACAGACCCCTGGCAGTGGGCTTTTCTCCCATCCTCGAGACAGAAGGAAAAGTAGGAAACCACAGCCTGACAGTGGTCCTTTTGTTATGTCTTGAAAATGAGGCCAGCAACATTGCTGCCCTCACACAGGGGAGGTTGCTGCTGCTGTTGCTGCTGCTGGGGAATGAGGAGTAAGAAAGTGGCCTCTCTCCGCAACACCCCCAGTGTGGATCCCTCACTGTCCCCACCGTAAAAATCTCTGCTCCTACCTCCACATTGTTGCTGTCATTAGGGGCAGCAGTGGCGCTCTCCAGCAAGCATGGAGGTAGGAGTGGGTTACAGAGGCAGCAGAGGCCGCTGGTAGGAGTACTGACCTCATGGGAGGGATCCCATCAAGTTGATATCCCTATAAGAATCCAGAAAAAAGAGAGGAAATGTTGGCAACCAGGCAAGGCTCTGTTTTCTCCAGCCACCAAAGGAGGTTCAGGGCCCCCCAGCTGGATGGGAGGGGAGCAGTCCTGCAGTGGGCCAATCAGAGCCCTGCAGGTCACCAACCTCCCTGAGGCTCCTCACGCATCTAGAACATTCCCATAGAGCAGGGCTTGTTTTGCGTTTTTCAGAAGAAAACGCTCTGTTTCTTGCCAGATCACCTTGATCTGGCTTCCTCCTGCCTCAGTGTCAGGGTAGTCCTGAGATAAAGGCTCTAATGTGAGGATATGTCCTCAGTGCTTGTACGCAGGCATGGGGGCTGTGTGGATGACCTGTTAGAGAAGACCGTGAAGGATGAGGACATTTCAGTGACAACAAAGATCAGAGTAATTCAACCAATAGTCTTTCCAGTATATGGAAAGCTGCGTACTGAGCAAGAACTGCAGAAAGAAAACAGAAGGCAGGCACCATCTGGTCAGGTAGAAACCTATCTGGATTTGGAGACCATTACTAAGAGTAGCAACAACCAACTAATAAATCCTGGATCAAATAAAGGCAGACTGTTTCCCTGAGGCAATGATCAGCAAGCAGAAACTTGGGTATTTGATATATTTGATCACGGGCTAGAAAAGGCTCCTATGCTTGGCAAGACTGAGCAGGAATAGGAGAAGGGAAAGACCGTGGACAGGATGGATGGGTGAAATTAAGAAGAGGACCACACTGTTCTTATAGGAGCCACGGAACTAAGCTATGGAGTGGCTGGGGACAGGTCAGGACTGGGAGCATTTCTCCATGCAGTCATCTTAATTTTCTGTGAACATATGAAAATGGTGATTTTGAAAAAAGCAGAATAATCCAGGGGAAGCATTTGCAAGGAATCTCTCCCCAAGTCAAGAACATAGTTGGTGATTTCAGGGGGAAAAAGAAGTGCTGAAGCTGTTTTTCATAATCCAGCATTTGATATCATTGCATGTGCTTAGAGACACTTCTAGCACTACAGTGAAAAGCCTGGGGACCTATGTGCCAATCCTGTGGAATTAAATCTCATACTTTCCCTTCTCCCTTAACTGTTTTAATTAGATTTATCCAAACAGAGTGGAAGACTCAGTAGAATTAATGGAGTTTGCTCTTGCCCATTATCTAGCAAACATATTTGCATATAGTCCTCTTCTATTGATGGAGCAAAATAAATGAATCCCATGAATGTCAGTAGAAGGCCAGGAAGAATGGGGCAAGAGCTGATAAATGAGGTGTCTGTTCTTTAATTATGGCTGTTCAGGTGGGTCAGGTGTATGTCTCATTGCAATTGTGTGAAGGAACTAATTGCTAAAACAACACCAAAAAAATCTTGCTTTCCCTGGCTCTGCTGGCAAAGCCATGAAATTCATTTTCTGTTCTACCTGGAGTGTCAGATATGGATGGCCAAGTGTTTCACACTTCCCTCCCCTCCTCTTGTCTTAACAGATAACAGCTTTATGTAGGTGACTCCTGCACAGATTTGACACAAATACTACTGGACAATTGGTGCCTTGATTGGCAGGAGAGTGCCTGCTTCTGAGATCTTGCAACCTTATCAGTCCTTGGCAGGCTGGAGGGATGTTCTGTATCCTGCCTTCCTCTTCCTGCCCCCGCTAGCAAAAGCCATATTATAAGTGTCAGAGCCGAAGTGGACAATGGACTCTGTTCTCCCCCTTCTTTTCCACTGGCAGGGGAAACCTGTTAAGGATATTACGGAAATGTTTCTTTTTCTCTGCTTGGTTGGGGGGGTGCGCGCACATGCACGCATTTGCATGTTTGAAAGCCCTTCCAGCTTCAAGTTTAGTTAATAGAAAATGGAGTTCAGTTGTGTACTAAGCACATCTCTCTCTGAGTAGTCTAGAGGATTGGCGAGGGGAAGGGAGGGAATGCTTCCTGATCTGCAGTGGTGCTGTGCAGGCTTCTCTTGACACCCCCTCCTTTCTTGATCCAGCTCCCCCTGTCATCTTATGCCTGTTGGTGTCTAATGCCTGCTTTGAGACTCATCTGCTTGAGTCTGCATGGGTTGTGTTATGGGGGTGGGTAGTTGATGAGTTGGGGGAAGAAGAAACTTTAAAGAGCTCTGTGAGTGCAGCAAGCAGGGCCTTAGGCTGGAATAGCAGTGGGGATGGTGTGCAGAGGGTCAAGACCCTGGGGGATAAGGAACCCTTCCCCCTACCCCACCATCTGTTCCTTTTGGCCCATAATGCAGATGGCATCAAGTTTCTGGAACAGGTAGCCTGCTGGGGATAGGGCAGCTGAGATTTGTTTTTATCTCTGCCTGCCAAGTATCGGAGAGTGTAGATTTAGCTTTGCCATTTGATTCTACCCTCAGAGGTCAGGTTTAGGGACACAATCCTCTTCCCCATAATGTTTGCCCTGTGGCCCCATCTGGGTACATGCCACTTTACATAGTGAGATAAGAGTCCTTGCCTGCAAATAGCTTAATTTTTGTTTAATGTTTAATTTTCAAAGTGGAGGAGAGAAGTGGGAAGGATGTCAGTGACAAAAGGATGAATCAAACATTTTAAATACTCAGGCGCTGCTTTGTGGATGGAGGTGAAAGCAAGAGAGGTGACAACTAACCCCAAGCCTGTCGGAAACCCCCCCTCTTCCCAGAGATGGGGAGTCAGTGGTAGTTAATCATCTGTCAAGGGGGAAGCACTCACCTTTCCATGTACCAGAATTCAGTGAACCGTAGGGTTGGCAGGAAGCTCTCCAGCTTAGGAAACTCTGGTTCAGATATGCCCTGCCCCTCCCAGAGAGAACAAGGAGCAGCCTGGAGGCTCACTCCTGACACGGGTGCGGCAAGCGACGGAAATGCAGCAGGCGTGCCCTTGCTGGCAGGGCTGTTTCCCACAGGTGAGGTCACCGGTAGGGTTAAGGTGGAACCAGGATTCTTGGGACCGGGGAAGGAATAGTTCCACTTCTGGCTGCCTAGTACGTTTCCACTGTCTGTGCATCGGAGGATGGAAGCATAACAAGCAAGCAGTTAACTCTGCTGTCTGTTATGGGTCTCATTGGTATGAGATGTCGAAAGTGCTGGAATTAAGTTTAGGGTCTCTAGCATCAGGTCTGGCAATGGCTTCACAACTCCAGAAAGAGAGTGAGTGGGGCTGATTCTCTTGGAGAAAGTTGGTTTGGGGACATCTGGAGTTTCAGGGTGAGCTTGTCATAAACTGAAGGGAATGTTAAAGGATATTACTGTATGACACTCTTCATACCGACTGATGAAGCAGCTCAAGTGGTTCCAAGAAACAGTTGGAGATTTCAGTTGGAGAAACAGTTCAGTGGGAGATTTTATTCAGGTGAGGTGCCGTCAATATGCAGATGATACCCAGTTATATATCTCCATCCCAGGCCCATTGAGTGATGCCGTGGGTGTCCTATCCCAGTGTTTGGAGGCTGGAGGGGCCTGGATGGGGCACAATGGGCTCCAACTCAATCCAAGCAAGATGGGGTGGCTTTGGATATTTGGTCCTCCTGCGGACAAGGTTTTTCCATCTTTGGTATTGGATGGGGTAGCACTGCCCCAGACAAACCCAGTGTGCAATCTGGGGGTTCTCTTGGACTCGCAGCTCTTGCTCGAAGAGGAGGTGGCAGCTGTGGCAAAGAGGGCCTTTGCATACCTTCGGGTTGTGCGCCAGTTGCACCCATTCCTGGACCGGGAGGCACTCTCACAGTTGCTCGTGCCCTCATTACCTCCTGTTTGGATTACCGCAATGCGCTCTACATAGGGCTGCCCTTGAAAAGCATTCGGAAGTTTCAACTGGTGCAAAATGTGGCTGCACGAGTACTAAATGGTGCCAGATATATGGCACTTGTAACACCACTACTACGGGAGCTGCATTCATTGCCGATGTGTTTCCTGGTGCAATTCAAGGTGCTGGTTGTCACCTTTAAAGCCCTGCATGGCTTAGGACTGGGTTACCTAAGGGACCGTCTTCTCCCAATAGTTTCTGCCCATCCAGTTCAGTCTAGTAGATTGGGGATGCTGTGGATCCTGTCAGCCAAGGAATGTGGGCTGGCGGGGACCAGAAGGCCTGTCTTCTCAGCTCCTTTGGAGCTCAGGATGGCCCTGACCCTGCTTGCCTTTCATAAGGCTTTTAAAAACCTGGCTATGTGCCCGAGCCTGGGGTCCCGTTACCTGGTTGCACTGTTAATTTTTATGTAATTTTTATTAAAATTCTTGGCTGCCTATATGTATAATTTGTAATGGTTTTAATGACTGAAATTGTTCACCACCCAGAGTCACTTGGATTGAGATGGGCGGCTATAAAAATTGCATAAGTAAATAAATAAATAAAGCACCCCTTTTCTGGAGAGCATAAGAAAGCCCGACGCTATTACCAGACCCATTGCTAGAGAGCCTAAACTTAGTTCCAGCAGCATCTGCCTTTTCCACTTTCAGCTGAAGCCCCAATCTCCTAAGATCTGCGTTATTCCAAGGGCCTTTTCCCACACTGTGTGCATCTGACTGTAGCTGGTAGAAAGAGGAATAGAGAAACATTTGCCAGAGACTGAACTGCCTGTACGAATAAGAATAGGCTCCAGTGGGAATAACATAGCGATCTGTTCCTTGCAATATCTAGTCGTCTTTCCCCTAGCATCTTCCAGAGCTGTTGGACTACAGCTCCCAGAATTCCCAGATATCCTGGGCATCAGGATAGGGAACGCTGTTACTTAAGCATAATATGTGCTGTGATTGCAAATGTCATTTCTCTGCCTCCAGCTCACATTGTTGACTGTCATGGAGGGAAGTGCTCAGCATCGGCACATTGTCTTGCGTATTGTGTTAAGAAAAACTTTATAAAGGGAACGTCCAGAGCAGGGGCTTCTCCACATCTCTTTTAGGTTAAGCTAAAGTCCGAGGGAGGGAGGGAGGGAGGGAGGGAGGGAG